GTATCAGGTATAATCCTCTCCCACTCCTTTTGGTTCAGATCTGGTTCAGTTTATGGTTCAAGATTGATCCTTGAAAATATGATTTTCTAAATAGGGAATACAAATCCCAGTTGAAGGGAGAGATAAAATTTTTGAAATTCGCCCCTTATTCCGCAATCTTTGGGCGTCCATAGGATGGATCTCTCATCCCTTCATGTGCAGCTTTTAAGCTTAACTAAATCAATGATTTCTGCCTAAGCCCTACTCTTATCATTGAAAATTCTTCCATTTCTTTCTTCCCAAATAGTCCAAACCATAGCTTCTCTCACTACTTTGCAAAGTGATCTACCTCTTTTTGTTGGTTGTCTCAAGAAATTAGGATCAAAAGGGCTCACCACATCTTGAGGAGGAGTCTATCTGCACCCAAATAGAAAACATAGATGCTCCCAAATACAATGCACAAAGGAACAAGTAATAAAAATATGGGAAATTGTTTCACCACTATTCAAGCAAAGAGAACACATGCGAGGAGAGAGGCATTTATTCGACCTTCTTTTCTACAGCACATCACAGGTATTGATCTTTCCAAGAAAGACCTCCCAACAGAGGGCCTGAATTTTAGAAGAGATAGGCTTGCTCCAAGTTTCTTTTACCAAAAAATTCGCCCCCAAGGTAGTAGGTTGTATTAAAAAGTTAAAAAAATAAATAAAGAAAAAGAAGCACAAGTGAAAGAGCCAACCAAGGATATTGACCACACCCTATTGTCCTCCAGATTTTGACTCAAATAAACTGACTCAAGTATAGCCAACAAAAGCATGTGAGTTTCACATTCTGAATACCTGAGCCCTCTTCTAAAGCCAAAGTCCCAAATTAAACCCAATTCAGAGAAGGCCACAAATTTTGAGATTGTTAGTGGAGAGTGAAAAGAGCAAGGGATACTGGACTTTTAGAGGAGTGTCCCCCAACCATAGATCCTCCCAAAACAAGACTTTTAGTCCTTTTTCCCACAACATACCAAATGAGATTAAGGAAGAAGGGATATACCTCATAGATGGCTTTCCAAGGGGAGGTTGAAGTTGCATTAAAAGCTACGTTTGCATCCCAGCCAAAGTCCAATTGCCCATGTATGCTTTTAATAACCTTGTTCCAAAGCCTTTCTCTTTCTAGTGGGAATCTCCACAACCGCTTCCCTACGAGGGCTAGATTCTTCTAAACCAAATTACCTAACCCAAGTCCCCCCTTCTCTTTTGGCCTACTAACTTGTTCCCAATTAATCAATTGATCCTTGTTCTCAACCTCTGGTTGCCAAAAAAATCCCTCATGATCTTTTCTAACTACCCAACAATCTTAACAGGGATACAGAAAGTAGAGTGGAAATAAATTGGGAGATTTGCTAGAGTGGCCTTGATCAAGGTTATTGTTCCACCCAAGGAGATATAATTCCTTTTCCAATATGCCAACTTTTTAGTAAATCTCTCCACTTCCACCGCTGGTTCCCAAAACCCCTCAGACCTTGGATTCCCACCCAACAAGAGAGCTAAGTACTCTATGGGCCAATTTTTTACTGCAATTAACACCTACAATACAGATCTTTCCCCAATTTACCCTTAGATTAGATCTATCCTCAATCTCTTATTAGTGCTTCTAGATTACTAAGGGAATCAGTGCTGTCATCGTCACAAAATAGAATTATATCATCCGCAAACTACAAGTGTGTAATCACAACCTCCTCCATACCCAATCTTCACTCTCTTAATGAGTTGTCCAAGTTCACCTTGATGATCATTCTACTAAACACCTCAACAATCAAGGTGAACAAGAACGGGGAAAGAGGGCTACTTTGCCTCAAACCTCTCCTAGCAGGAAGCACTCCTTAACCCACAATCTCCACCTCTCCCCAATCCAAATATTTCCATGACCTCTAGGAGAAAGGACCAATCCACTAAATCGTAAGCCTTTTCAAGGTCCAACTTATAGATAATTCCCTTCTCACCTCTTCTCTTCTTCTCTACTAAACATTCATCTGCCATTAGGATCCAGTCCACTATTTGTCTGCCCTCTACAAAGGCCCCTTGGAATGGTGAGATAACCGTTGGTAATATCTTCTTTAGTCTACTTAAAAGGACTTTTGCAATTATTTTGTAGGGGGCTACCCACTAAACTGATCGACATAAAATCCTTTGGGATTTTAGCTTCCTTCTTAGGGACTAAGGCAATGAAGGTCGAATTAGTTCCTAGAGAAATTTCCCCAATTTGGTGGAACTCATCAAAAACTTCTTTCAAATCATTCTTCATAGTCTCCCAACAATCTTGATAAAAGGTCCCTGTAAATCCATCTGGTACCAGGGTTTTAGATCTATTCATAAAAAATACAGCCTCTTTAATTTACTCAATGCTAAAGTTGCTCTCCAAAGCTTTGGACTGGATATCTATCACCCAAGCCCACTCCAGATTGGGGAGGCTTCATCTT